AAAATGTACAATGAGCAAAATAACAACAACAATAATAATAAATGTACTGTTTAAATATAATTATATTTTTCTATTAGTTTATCAGCTAATTTAATAGTTCTTCTAGTACCTTCCTCTCTGAGTATATCTAAGAATATACCAAATACTTCTCCATCCACTCTAATGGTTCCTATGATAATGTTAAGTAGTTTATGCAGTCTTTGATCAGCTGTCAGTCCACAGTGTTCATCAGTTACTTGACTTCTCTCTCTTCCATTTATTATGCTCTTCTCTAAAAGTTTATCGGCTAAAAAGTAAAGATCAATTTGAGTTTCCTTTATCAGGATAATGTTCTCTGTCATTACTCTATGAGCAATATCAGATCTAAATGTATCTATTAATGATACAAATTCAGTGATTAGTGTGTTTTTACATTAATATCAACCATACCTTCTTCTGTCTCTATCCTGGTTTGACTAATACTAGTAATAGAGGAGCTTGAGCTAGTACTGTGCACTACACAAAATAGTAATATTAGCTATAGACCCATGTCAACAACTAACTTGTATGTGACGCAGGAGGTGTTCGGTTGATGTAAATAATTTTTGAAGGAACTATTCCAGTTAATTCAATAGGGCAATGAAGTGGATCCTGAGCAATACCAGGTTTAGCATACACTGATATATGGATACTGGAACACATAGGATTGTCTATAAACTTGTCCACTACATATTGATGTATCTATAATAATAGGTAACAGTCATACTGTATATTATACACATGTACACTGTGCATACTTGCATTGGGGATTGGTCAGGATGTACAGTCCATCCTGATTCAAGTGATGAAGTATCTTGTAGATACAACTGAAGGATACCATCAGGTTGATTGTACTTAAATGGAACAATTGGACCATCTTTTTCAGCTACAGGATGTTCATTCCCTAAATACTAAAATTCCAATAAATGACATTTTTCATAAATTACATTACATACTTGCTGAAGGACTTCTAAATCTCTAACAACAGAAAATGTAGTCACCCATTGATTAACTTTCTTCTCTTCATGATACATCATTCCAGTATACAGTAGAGTAACTCCTGCATGCAGGTATCAAGAATTATAAATTAAAACATATATGATAGCTGTGACATACTTTTGTCTTCATTTAGTTTTTCATCGGTTGATTCATTGCTAACAATAGATGCACCTAATAATACAAAACTTCAGTATGAATGTACTTAATTAATTATGCAATGCATGCATACCAATCGTAGACTCAATTTCTTGTACTTTTTTACTCGAGTCATCAGTTACTGATTCTATTATGAAAATACATGTAAAACTTTATACAACACAATTACAGTCACACATACCTTGAGATAGGCCAGTATTTATTGGTGAGGCAGTTCTTTCACTAGTCTCTCCTGCTCCATTACCACTATCATTATGTGTGTCATCAATTGATCCTATTATTGTACATTATTAATAATAAAACACTATTTCCATCATACATGTACCTTCAGGTGGTGTCTCATAACCTTCCTCACTGTCACTGTCACTAGGTGTGTCTCCATTACTCATCTCAGCTACAATACCCATACAACTGAACTGCTCACGCTTTATTGATCCGTATCTTTTCCCAACTCTAAAACATCCTTCTTCAACTATACTGAACTGGTAAGGAGACTTCAGTGGAGCTCTCACAAACTTGAGGCAACCAGTCTGACTAGTGTTCCTTAGATCCACACAATGTTGTAGCTCTATTACCAGTGGTTTTAATAGTGCCTTAGATACTGATATTGCATATACTGCACTCACTAGCACAGTACCTTTGGGTACCTTGAAATTACCACCAGCTAGTGCAGTAACAGCTACTTCAGTATCCTTGGACACTGCTCCTTGAGGACACTCTAATCTGAATCCATATTTCTCCCACTGGAGTGAGTGAGACCTGTCTCCTTGTAGGATAAAGAGCTTCTGTCCAGCTATAATGACACTAGAGTCTAGTGAATCTGAAACAATACAGACACATCATATCTAATACCAGTATAGTACACACACAATTATTCACATGTGTACATGTACATGTACATGAACATGAATAATTTACCCATTGAAGGGATCAGGTAATTAAATTGTAGTCCAATGGAACTAGTCTCTTTGATAGGTTGCTTGAGGACCCTCTCTTGTCTTTCCTTCACTAGTTTGGCTATGTACAATTCCTTTTTTTTAAGGTCTATATAAATTAATAGAATATTAATAATTATTATTGATTGATGATGATACACTAACCAGTAATGATCTGTTTCTCATTCTGTGATTGTTTCTCTACTTGTGATGTCAGTTTGGCAATAACTTTGCCTTTCTCAGAAATGTCAGTTTTCAGATTTTGATTGTCATCTACACAATAAACATATTCTCTCATATATTTAATACATGCTGTGTATATAGTTAACTAACCAATAATGATCTGTTTCTCCTTGAGATATTGTTCCTCCATATCAGCTACTTTGAGTTTCAGTTTCTCATAATCTTCTACATTAATTGAATATTCTCTTAACTAATATTGTGTACTGATGATACACTAACCGGTAATAAGCTGTTTCTTCTCCTCTACTTGTGTCTTCTCTTCCAATATTTCAGCAACTTTAACTTTGGGCTTCTCATAATCATCTATTATCAATAAAAATACAAAAAATAAAAATAACTAGATATTTTGTTGCTAGAACTAATTTGCACTGCATGTACAGTAGCCCATAAATACATGTACTATGTTTATTGCTAAATGATACCATATATGGTATGGAATGACGGTGCATTAATCTCATTCTTTGTAATGCATGGACAATTTCACCTATACTGAGTACAGGATACTATCTATTTCCATACTCAACACTGAGTAATCCACTAGTAAGTTATAATGTAAACAATGTACACATAAACAATAGTACAACACAATAGTACCTAATTCAAGAGTTGATTTATCCTTTTCTGCTTGCTCAAGGAGAGTGGTAGCATCATCAAGTTGCTGAGTAAGTGTTGCCTTTTCTTGAAGAAGCTGTTGCTGCTCTTTGTCTCGATCTTGCTGTATCTGCTCCTTCTCTTTTATTTCTCTTTGAAGCTGTTCCTGATAGAATTCTCTCTCTCTTTCTTGTAGGTGACCTCTGAGTAATTGAACCTCTTTGCTTAATCCTAAATTCTCCCAATCACTCAGTATTCTTCTTCTTAGTTGATCTTGATACTGGTCCAGAGGTATTACATTAGTAGACCAATCTTTATCACTAGTATATCCTATACAGAAGCATAATAGTGGAGAATAAGAGATACACAAATTAGATACAGTTATAGTTAGTCTTTACAGTAACTATATTACCGTATAGCGTAAAATTTTTGTGGATTTCGTGTTTTTTCAAAATCCACGAAAATAAATTCCACGAAAATTGATTTAATACGGTTCAAGATGGCCAAAAAGTAAAAACCACGAAAATTAAAGCCACAAAATTGATTTTTGAACAGATCCGCGAAATTTTTGGGCCATGAAAATTTTCTGCTATACGGTATTGATGGATCTATGCATGTCGAATCATGGTATGTCTGACTTCTGTCAGTTTACACAGTTAACAAAGAAAAATGTAAAACATTTGAAGGAGTTCAGCCCTGAGCCACGCTATGGTTGTGCTGTATAATTTACCTTGCTGCAAGAGAAGTTTTTGGATAGCAGTTTGCTGAGCATTTGAAAAAAATCAACCAAGATTAGGCTAATTAACTTTCATAATAGTTAGACGATCCTACTACCCCATACAGAAAGACTGCACTTCATCTTAGCGGGCTTCGCCCAATTAGAACACTTTGTCCCATAAATACATAGATCCATTATATTAATATCAGTGTTTTGTATTTTCAGTCATTATATTCTACTATTGTGCATAGCAGGAATGAATTAGTATACGTCAAATGCTCTCATTAAATATTCATCACAAGAATTACTTACTTCATCAATGCACATTGTATATACTACTGTCTACATGTACTTACTGAATTCAGTAACTAGTGTATCACTTAATATTGTTGTTAAATCATTTCTAATTCCTCCAAACTCAATCATCCAGTTAGTAGATGGGGTCACACTCCACACTGAGAGAGAATGCCAGTGTCTCTTAGTGACATTGTCTGGTAAATTAATCTATAAATCAAAACAATAACTAATTTGTGTATGGCATATTAATTAATTTGATATCTGGTTAATAATTTAAAACACAAATACTAACTGACAGTTTTATAGTCTGCACAGTGTGTTTTATGTCAATGTACACACAATGTACAGAAAATAGAATTAATTTTAATTCTGCAGCATTGACGCTGTATGAATTGTGATATATTTACACCTATAATAGATGAAGAAATAAACACAGAGCACGAAAGACACAAACACACATTCACACTAAAAACACAGAAACACACACATAATACTGAATACCAGCATTATTAATTAGTAGTTTTCACTGAGTATCATAATATGTACATGTACATTACAAACCTCATGAGTTACAAATTTAGTTAATCACTTTATGTTTCATTATCAAGCATCATAATATAATACTTACAAGTTCTTTCCATTTTCTTTTGTTAATGTCCAGTAACCATGCATCATAGGCAGGTGATCCACCCACCATTAGTAAGTGTGGTCCCGAACTAGTGGTAATCAGTACACTGGAATGAGCTGCTCTTCCCTTAGGCCATTGTACTGATCCTCCAGGATTAGGCACTTCTAATATATCCTGAAAGAATAATAAGTAATTTAGACTGGGTTTGGGGTTATACATGTATGCATCAAAAAGATTTTGATAGTGATAAAATAATTGACATTGCATTTCATTGATTGCAATTTGCATGTACATGTCAAGCAACATCAAGTAAAGCAGCTTTGATGGAATACAATTTTTTCAATTATAATTTAATTGAAACCCATAATGTACACCGGTTATCAAAACAATCTCTCAATCAAACCAATCATTAACTCATTAACTCACCACTGATGTCTTAGTGAAACTTATCATATACAGTTTATTACTGGCTCTATTATCAGTATCACCTCCAAAAATTACTGCAGTGTTATTAGTAACTGGTGTTAGCGTGAAGTCCTCAATAGAAGGTAGTCTGTCTCCAGTAACAACAGGAGATATCCATTGATCTAATAATAATGTACAAACATTTATGTACACTTACTTACCACATACACACACATACATTATACACATTCATCATACATATTACATATGTACCGATATGGGTATATGAGTGTACATACATACACATCATGCAAAGGCACACATCACTATCGCATGGTACACAGAAGTGTTGCACACACACACACACACACAGATACATTCATGAATGGATACACACACACCACACCTGTACACATGAAGGAGAGGTGCAGGGGGTGTCCTTATTTGAAGGTTAATGCTAATCTATTCTAGTACATGTCAGTTATGATTGTTAATGAAAGTTATAAACAACTGATACCATATAGCTGGAAATATTTGCTGGAATTTAATTTTGCTGTTTGCTGTTCATCATAAAAACGCACAATTTAATTCCACAAAGCATAATGGGTGTATCAACAGTACACTCCTACACCAGCAAAATTAAATTCCACAAACATTAAAATTAGCTATATGGGTACAAAATTGCAAAATATAATTCCCGCAAACTTTTCCAGCTATACGGTATGTGGGTAATTTGTGATTAAGTATGTGCGTAATTTGTAATTTATAGATATACAAACACCACACATACACAGATACATGATAATATCCACACACAAATAACATGCACAATATAAATATACATGTCACATACACACGTCATACATTTGTAAATTCTCACATACATTATATACACTATCATACACAGACACATCATAATGTATGTATTAGTACACACACACACGTCACATATAGACACACGTCACCATCACACACAAACACATGACACACAGAGACACACTAACAAACACACTTGATTATTATCAATCTGTTTTATGTACATTAATCAATTTGAAATACTCATCAACTATTACAATTGTAACAATAATGAGAATTACTGACCTGATGAAATCCTGTAATAGTGTATCTCATTGCATCTACCACCAGCTGAATACTGGGCTCCAAGTTGCTTTTGAGTAGTGATAGGAGATGATCCTTTGGTTTCTCCAATTATTACAAGACAGTCTTGACCGTCAAAATGAGCTGATACCATTCCATAGTAGCCCTTCATTATTGGACCACGATCAGAACTAGAAGGAGAGAGTTCCCTCCAGTTGAATGAATCCACATTGAAACAATGCACATTGTTGTGATGGAGATACTCATCATATCCACCAAAATAGTATATGTTCTTCCCAATTGCAATAGCTGAGTAGCCCCTGGTGCCTGGTGGTGGAGTACCGGTGGTAGGTTTCTGGTCCCAAGCACCAGTTGGTAAGTGATACACCTCCATCACATCATAGTGTACTCCAGGCCCGAACCCACCCCACATATATAGGTAGTCTCCTACTTTTACAGTGGAGTGTAAGCTCCTCTTCACTGGTTGATAGTCTATAATAAAGAACAAGAGGTGCCAGTAACCGCGAGTAACAGCAATAGTCATGAGTTATGTATGTAGAATAATTAAGGGCAGGATACAAGAGTAAAGTAAGTGAGAGAGTAAGAGAGACAATGAATGAATAAAAGAGATATAAGAGAAGAGAATAGTGGTCCTCACTTTTAGATGCCATTCTTGCAAACTTCGTTATTATTCACGACTGCTATGCTGTGCATAGGCTTAGATACTACCTTGGTATTTATAATGACTATACCAAAAAGATACGAATTTTTCCCGCCGCTAGCGATTGCCATAGCAATTCGAACTCGAACTCTATCTCTAGCTCTAGCTCTAGCTCTGTTAACTGACTTGGGTGTGGTTTTGCTGGTTTTATACAACCATGGATAATAGAGTATTATTGGCAGGACCGACAGAGCTCGAAGATAACAGATAGAAAACTGGATGGTTACACTAAACGGAGCTGCTAAAGAATAGATGATCATGATTAGCTCCTGATCTCGCTCCTGATCACTGTAATTGTATAAACACGTGGTCAATTCATAGCAAAGCTCAATGCGTTTCCAGACTAGGTATTTTCTAGTACTATTAATTGTAGATCTAAGTGAACTTATTCATTAGTTTTTATTGTCATGGATATTAGCAGTTGCAAAGATGCAAATATAACCCAACCTATGTACGGCATAGAGCATTACTATACTCAACTATGCCTACGGTATTAAAATACCAGCCCCCACCTAGGCCTAAAACAAGTAAATCAGATATTGGAGTAAATGAAAGGGATTGGAAACTTCTGCATGAACGTAGCAATAATGCCATTTGATTGTATTGTTGCTAAGCAAAAAATTGCTGACTAGTTGCTTTGTTACTTTAAATTCTTGATTTTTTCACTGAAATTAAAATAACTCCAAAAAGAGTGCTCTGATGAAAAAGAAACTTGACTATCAAGGACTTCAATGTTTTGCACTGTTAATTATTATTTATTTGGTGTATTTAAATTAATACTTTGAGTGTGATAGTGCTTTTCCCATAAAATTGCCGTTTTTTCCCTCTAATCACTGACTGAAGAAATTTTAGCTAAACACTAAAAAGCTTGTCAGAATATAAAAGAACTCTCAATTACCTATGGAATGATACCGTATAGGGCATAATGTTCGCGGGAGGCAAATTTCGCGAAATCTACTAAAATTCCAATTCGTGGATTTTAATTTCGCGAATTCTACCACGTGTGCCATGTGGATACTGTATTAAATTGATATTCGCGGATTTAATTTTCGCGGATTTAATTTTTGCGAATTTTCTTTATCCATGAAATCAGCGAAATTTGCGTCCCGCGAACATTATGCCCTATACGGTATGAGGTAACACTAGAATAGCAAAAGCGTGAAAGCTGTGGAGGCAAAAAGTGTCAAGAAAGATGCCGACTTTGTGTACCCATAACTGGTTGCAACATAGTTCTATAAAAACAAAACCTTGCTGTAGGTAGTCCTAAACTCTCTATGTGGAAAGGAAGATATATCATAAGCAAGCGCTTTCTAGTAGTCATACAATATTCCTTCGAGATTTTTTCTGCACAGCAACTACTATGGAGGAGATGGTGAATGCAGATAAACATGAATGTTGCCAACCAGGACCCAGGTAACCAGGGGTGACGCAAAAAATGTAGCCCTGTGTACTGAGTCTGAAATTGCAAATGGGGCTTCGTAATATTCCATTGCTTGTAACCCAGTGAATATTTTTCCAAATAGTACCGTTAATAACAATCCCCTGATTGCCTCTTCTCTTTGTCCACTAATTATTGCATGGTGCGCCCATGTCACTATAGCACCAGAACTCAATAATACTGCTGTATTCAATAATGGTACCAAAAAGGGATTTAACGGTTCAATTTCTTTCAGTGGCCACACTGCTCTGATTTCTATTGCAGGTTCTAAACTACTATGAAAGAAAGCTCAAAAGAATGAAAAGAATAAACAAACTTTTTTCTGACACAATAAATAAAATCATACCAAGCTTTAATCCACACCGCATCGCTGGGTGGGAACGGTAGTTTTCAATCCCTTTCATTTACTCTATTAGCTATGATAGAGTGTGCATGCATAAATAGTCGAGTATAAACTCAACTATCTATGCATGAAACAGATTCATACACTAATGGAAATGGATGCATGTATTTATTGTCATTTAGTTTTTGGGCTGGTTTGAAAGGGTGTATGTCAGCCCCTCCCACTGGACCAGTACTGTGGCTGTACTTACTATTAAGGTTGAAATGCCAAGTAAAGATCAAGCTAGTGTTAAAGGAGGAGAAGATGTCATCTTTTGATTTTGAGATTGTCCACGACGACTACATGATAAACGTAAGTACATGTATGTATACATGTACATATTTTTCTCACTTCCTATGAATTGAGCTGAATACTGATATGACATATCAAACAAATACCTACTGCTTACATCTCAATTTTTGCCCCTGAAATATTTTAAATTTCTTCTATTTATAATATTTACAATTAAAAATTACAGTTAAAGTGACACAAAGTCCTTAAGGACATTGATTAGTGATTAATAATTGTAATGTTTTAAGATTGCTAGTACATGTAATTGTATTGTTTGTGGGTGTGGTAGCATGCATGACATACGCTTGTATACGTAGAAGATTAGTTGAAGTAAAATTGAGCTCCATTTGAAAATTTTAGCCTACCAATGTGCTAAAGCAATTTACCAAATTCTGACATCAATATTTGGACACATACGCACGTGTGTAGTATCCCTACCCTCTAATGACCTTGATCCTCTCCTCCCTCTACTAGAAGACCAGCAGTCCTATGTATCTAATAGTTCTTTTTTAAAAATCTACTTTCTATTATTGGGTGAAATGAGATTCTTTGCTCTATTTATGCATCAGTTGGTATAATGCTGTCAAGAAATATTGATATAGCATGTCATACCTTTAGTACATGCATATGTGCATACATGTAGCTGACCCATTACCGTTATACATTGAATGCATGCAAGGAGGAAGCCACACATACATGTACATACTATAAATTATTATGCCACTTTATTCCACCACAAAGTCATGGGTGTGTTTTGAAAGTTTATACATAGTAACTTGTAGTGTGAAGTAGTAACCTGATAATGCTGTAGAGAGGATCATCCTTATACCAGCTGCTCCAAATAAGGTTATTAGGAATGTCAATACAAGGAATGCAATAAATATGTAACCAGTTTGATCAGAGTAGAGAATACTGACACTTAAGTCAAGTCTTATTAGGTAGTTGATTTGATTATTGATAAGAATGAGGTGGTTAACTTAAAGTTGCATTTGACTAAATTGTAGATGACATTGTCTATACTAGTTTATTATACACAACTCTATGTATACATGTAGGTGTTTTGTAGGAGACTTCTCCATTTATATAATTTTACCTGATACATATACATGTTCTTATGTTGTTTAGAAAGTTTAAGTTTATTCTGATCAAAATTGGATTTCTTACAAATTTTCAAATTTCCTCAAAAATTGGGCCTTCCCGTGCTATGGTCCCAAGGCCAAATTTCACCAAAATTTTGAAAAAGAGAATTTTTTGTTTTTTAATAATTTTTCCTGATGCATATTTATGTTCTTATGTTGTGTAGAAAGTATGAGCTGATTCTAATAAAAATTGGATTTTTTACAAATTTGAAAAGTTCCTTGAAAATTGGGCCAAAGTCCCTGTACTATGGTCCCAGGCCAAATTTTGCCAAAATTGAAAAAGAGAGAATTTTGCTTTTTATAATTTTTCCTCATACATATTTATGTTTTTTATGTTGTGTAGAACGTTTGAGCTAATTTCGATCAAAATTGGATTTTTTACGAATTTTCAAAGTTCCTTGAAAATTGGGCCAAAGTCCCTGTACTATGGTCCCAGGCCAAATTTTGCCAAAAATGACTAGGAGAGAATTCTTTGTTTTTATAATTTTTTCTGATACACATACATGTTCTTATGTTGTGTTGAAAGTTTAAACTGATTTTGATTGAAATTAGATTTTTTGCAAATTTTTTAATTTGCTCAAAAAATTGGACCAACATTCCTGTACTATTAGTAACGCGGTAGCGTTACTAAGTAGGATTCACCCCCAAACAAAAAAATGGCTGCCACGACTTTTGCAGCCTTGCTATACCTGGAAAACGAGCTCCTATGCTTAACAGACTTTATAGAGGACCTTATCTTGACCAGAGGACTCCAATGGTACAACTAGCGTGGCTCTAGACCTTGTCTAAGCGAAAAGTCAAAAATCGGTGAACCAGCCGTTTTGTTCAGCCACCTTTTTTCATCTTCATCATCAAGTCCTGTAAATCTACCGTATAGCGGAAAATTTTCGTGGCCCAAAATTTTCGTGGATCCATCCAAAAATCAATTTCGTGGCTTTAATTTTCGTGGTTTTGTACAATTCGGCCATCCTAAACCGTATAAAAGCGATTTTCGCGGATTTTATTTTCGTGGGTTTCGAAAAAAACGCGAAATCCATGAAAATTTTGGGCCACGAAAATTTTCCGCTATACGGTAGTTGTCGGTGTGTATCTCAGTATCAGTTGGTGCTACAAGAATAATTCTTACACCAATCTACTCCAACAGTCTATGCGCAGGTCCATGTCCCATCAGATCATTCTTCAAGTAAGGAAAAAGTGATACTGTGACTGCTGGATCGAGCCATCTTAGCTACATGCCGCCATTTTGTTAATTAAAGAAGCTTGCCATGTGCTCCAAAATTTGGGTGTGGTCGCGCATGCTCAGATCTGCAGCTCTGGAAGAAGCAAGTTATTTTTTTACCGAGCTATGCTTGGAATCAACTTACTGCAATACTTTCAGGGGCGGATCTAGGATTTAATTTTTGGGGGGCAATTATGAGATGGGTGGGGTAATTAGGGGTGTGGTCAACTAAGCTTGTGCAAAACTTTTGGGGAAGTAAAAATTATGAAGACTAAGCCTGCTAAAATGAGCCCCTT